TTGTGCTGATAGCCACACTGTACTGAACACTGTCACCTACTGCAGAGTGAAGCTATGATGTGGGATAAAGAATGCCATTAACACAAACCTGTGTTAAGTATTTCATGACATCATTTCTTCAGAGAGGCACCCACACTACAGTCTTCACAGAAGAACAGGAGAGCAAGACAAACATCTTGAGTTTATCAAATTTACTTAGAAATGCCAGTTAAAGCTATGACACGCAGAGCGATCAATAGGCTCCCTCGGTTACCCACGGCCATCTACGCTAACAGTCACCTCTGGAAACGTTCAAGGGCAGCAGCTCAGCACAGCAGCATGCCAATTAAATCAGCATTCTTGGAGAGAAACAGAAGAAACGCCCCAAACTTCCCAGAAAGCCTACATAACCCATGGAGATGGAAGTGAAACTCCGTCAGCCTTGAGGAAAATGTAAGGGAAAAGGGAAGAAATGTAAGATCCAGAGAAGCGTTAACAAAGCATGTCTAAACCATTCACTGAAGGTTATCTTCAGCCTCTCAGCCACTGAAACATGCACCATGCCAGAGTAAAGGAGTGGTAGCTGGCAGCAGAACAGATGCTTCACAGTTTGCACCGTGAGAGCTTCGTGCAAAGCAGCCGCTACCATCTGGCCATCCGCCACTGCACGAGGTTCCACCACTGCTTATTAACATCTCCTACATTTGAGAATTAAAGGTAAAACTTCACACAGAGATATAGATTTTAACTAAAGTCTGCAATTTCCAACACCAGCCCAGCACTCAGGTCTGTCTTTCAAGGTGTATGGGGGTTTTTCACTGTCTGTTCACAGTGCCTTGCAAATTCCTACAAGCGTGCTGGGGGCAGGAGGATAACCAGCCCTGCAACACACGTATATGTTGATTTTAAGTAGCAATAATTGCCTAACTCCTCTCCAAACACCATATGCTCAGCAACACCAGTCGCCAAGACAGAAAAAAGTGAAGCACATTATATATGTGTTCTCTTGTTGTATTTTTTTAATGGGGAAACACAGATACAGTTCTTCTCTGTCACTCCCTTTGCTAACAGTGCTCATTTTACATCCCCTGCATGTCAGCTGAAGTGAGAAAATGCACAGGATGAGAAAGAGATTGAGTTGAAGGTTTCGGTGTTTCCTGCTGGTGTATGGAGGTGAGACCTTTTTCTTTCAAAAGATGTGACTAGCTGTCCTTGGCAGAGCTGTTAATTAAAGTCCCCTCTCTGCTCATACATCAAAATGTGTATAGTGTTAGATACAGTACAAGTGTCCCAACTCTATCCAATCAATACACAACCACCTTCATTCAAAATGATCTTTGTTCTAGGTTAGAGAAGATCTAAATCTATAACTTATATGACAGTGCTCATTACTTACAGCAGCAGGCACAGTCTGGGGAGAAGCTGGACTTTCATTTGGCTTTACACATCTGTAAGCCACTGGTGCCCTGTGCTACTGCTCAGTTCACACACCTCACTGGGCAGCAAACGCCACTTTTAGGATCACTTGAACTAAAATGGATTTCAGCCACTGACTTACGAGACAGGAAGAGTCACGCCATTGCCAGCTCTCAGGAGCACGCTACAGCATCAAAGCCAAAGCGCTCCATGCCAGTCCTCCTATCAGTTCATCTTCATACCAGGGGAAGAACGGAAGCTACATACGTACCATCTGCGTTAGATCCTGGGATACTCATTGGGTTACGAGTTCCCTGAAATGTTGCTAGCCTGTGATCATGCATAAGCAAACACAAATCAAATACTGGAAATGGAGTAAGTCAAAGTAAAGAGAAGGCTGCTGCCAAAACACGAACACCCACCCTCTCCCCCCACAAGAGTGCTGCTGCTTCATTTCAGCTCACATGGAACACACCGAGCTAAACTCAGCCAAGGGATGAGCCTCCAGTGCTCAAAGTGCGAGCGGCAGCCAGGCCACAGCGCCTGGAAAACCTCCTTAGATTGACACAACCCTTTCAAGCTGTAATGATGTGTGCAAACTTCCAGTACTGCTATCCTTCATTAACCTCCTCTGACACGTGAAGCATTCACCATGCAGGCAGGTGAATTCTGCTTGTCTGAGTTAAGCCCATTTGCATATGGTTCTGCTTTAATCTGCATTTCCATAGAAACCTCATTGTGTATTCCTCTGCTCATAAAACCAGGATTTAATTCTCACCCAGCAAGTTAGAAGGCAGTAGGGAAAAAATGCTAAAGTACAACTGTTACAACCAGCTTTGTAGCTCTCTGCTCATTTTAGAAATCAATACAAGTACAACAAACCTTAATTTAAATATGCTGAATTTGGTGGGAACTTGTCAGTAAAACTTGGTGTGTTTGAAATACTTTCATTTAAATCAAGTTTCCTGATTCAGTTGCTACTGAGGCTGTGAGATTTAATTCAATACACAAAGCATAATTCCAAGCCTCTTGTGATAAAAATACCCTTTAAATAAATAATAGATCAAAGCAGTGTCACTTTGGTGGCACATGTAGTCTATGAAAGCAGGAGACGAAGGATTAAATGTTTTCAGAGCAGTCCAGGATGAAAGGGGGAAGTCAACGTTCAGTTACTTTACCTAGATATAACACTCATTACTTCTCGTTTGATCCTTCCCTCTTATTGGAATTGTGCCTTCTACAGAACCTTCAAGTTCCTACAAACTCGGGGGTTTTTAGAGCAATGAGGCAAGATGGAAAAGAAAAAAAAAAAGAGTAATTCCATACCCAAACCTTAGTGAATCATTTCCCATTAACTACAGCAAAGGGAGGATCACTCCCAACAACTGCTCAAGACAATGAGTAAGAGCCAAATCTGCCACTGCCTGTGATTTTTCATGATCCACAGGGAAAACCATGCCACAGATTTCCCTGCAACTCAGGCAAAGAGAGACTTGTTCTGGTTAACCTTTGAGAATTCCTTGATTTAGACAGGCTGGGTCATTTAAACACAGGTAACAGTTCCCATCCTGAGCTTTGGCAAGTTAATGGATCAAATTCAAAATAATGGAATGCTTTCCACACTCTCAAGTGACACCCAGAGGTAGGTCCCCTCCAACCCTCAGGGAAACCTCTTTCAGTGGCATCTTGAGGAGAGCACGCTGAAGTCACTCAGACCTGGCTTGTGGGAAAGGGAGGCGAGAGCCAAGGAGAAGAAGCTAAAGGGAACCAGGAGATGCAGCAGATCCACAGTCAGACTGACACTGGAGGGAAGTGACCACGTGTTGCCTTTAATATGATGAGCAAAAAGTAATAAACACAACAGCAAGTTTGTCCCAACAATACCTGATAAAGCTGTCCAGATACAAATGATGTATGAGCAGCACCCCTGATCCTGATACAAAGGAAAGTGATTTAGGCTGATAGTGAAAACAGAAGGACCAAACAGAAAATTACAGATTTGCTTCTATTTTCTTCATTTACAAAAATCAGACTCCATATCTTGAAGAATTATTCAGGGCCCAATTCCACTAAGCTCTTTCTCAGTGAGTAGCACACTACTACATGAAGAGCACACCCTTTCCAGCATAGAGGGCTCTCAGAAGAGACTGCAAGTCCTCAGGAGTAAACAAGGTCAGAACTAGGCCATTGTAACCACTGCTCTCTTCATTGAAATTACTCTGGCTGCAACATGCATGAGATACATTTAACAAGTACACAGAAGACAGCTGATTACTCACACTTTGTTCACACTTAAGCTGTACAACCTATTGATTACCTTGATCAAGTCAATGTCATTCCCAATTTAGAAAAAGACAACTCTGCAGATCAGAAAGCATCACAGGAAGGCAGAGGGATCACTAAAATAGACAAGCAAGCTCATCACACCTCCACAGTCTACTAGAGAAAAACCTCTTCCTTGCCAAAACCCTTCAAAGAGGATGTACCACAAGACTTTGTGTTCTTTGCCTCATTTAAATTACATCCCAAACCCTTCAGTTCAATTCACTAAAGATCTGCCAAGTTAGATTTTCAGTACATGATGCTATTCAAGCAGGTGATTCTAGTTCACCCAGAGCCTTCCCCAGAACTTCACAACCATTCAGTGATGGCCCTGCTAGAAACATTCCGACTCAGGTACGGCATCCTCACACCTGGGCATAATGACTCTGTAAAGAATCACAGGTTTCAGCTGCAGTTCCCAAGTTATTCCACAGTGTTACAAGAGAGATCATAAGCATATCAGAAAACTGGTCACCAAAAGAATTCGAGCATATTCATAAACACAAAGCTATGGGCAAAGCAGCTCTGAGACCTGGAGAATCCCATAACCCAAAGCAGATTCCAAGAACAGAATGAGTGGCGCTCATTATCCATGACATTTCTTGGGTGCTTTGTTTGGTTGCTTTTAACTTAAATATCTAAGTTAGAAACAAGTTCGAGAACCCAGGCAGGGATCCTTCTTTGCCACACTTGGCTTTATCAGTTTAACATGCAACTTACATTCAAACACAAGGGAAGCACCTTGCTTTAGCACAGTAAGTGCTTCATCTTGTAACTCTTTCCTGTCATCAAAATCTCAGTTTCGCACACACACAAGCTGCCTTAATTTCATATGCCACATAACATGCTGGTGGCAAGCTTCAAAACCACAACACTTCCGTGTATCTTCACCACTGCACACAACTGTAATGACTACACTTATTGCACTTTGTGCTTGCACCGTTAACCTGCTGATCCAGAAAACACTTTAATGCCTCATTAATTTTACTGCCTTTCCTGAAAAACACCAAGTGTCCAGATTTCATTTAAAGATCTTAAATGAGGGAACTACTCAAAGAGTGTATTTCCATGAGCTTCAAAATGAGTACTTTTGACCCATCTCCATGTTTGCTTTCCCCAGTGCCACAGGACAAGCACACAAGCTACTGGATCAAACACACACCATTTCATGTGAAAACAGGCTGCTGTGTGAGGTACAGAAGCCCTCTGAGCACCAAATCCTCCCTTCCCATCACCTATGGCCCCACTCCTCCTCCAAAACCCATCCTGCCCTTGAGCATTACCCGGTCCTTCATCCTCCAGCTCTGAGCCAACGACTTGGAGCCTTCGATCTTCTCGCAGTGCCTTTTCTTCATGAAGGCCAGAGGCAAGTTCCAGTCAGTCAGGTCGGACTCATCCTCCTCCCCAAGCCCCAGAAGAGGCGACTGCAGCATCTCAGACTCCATCAGAGAGGAAGTATCAGGCAACAAGTGAGCAGCAACCTTCAGCCCAGCCCGCAGCGGGGGCCCAGGGATGCCTCCGGGAGACGGAGGCGCAGGGTGGCGGGGGGGAGGACGGGGCAAGGGCAGCGGGAGGCTCCTCTCCCAGGTGTGCAGGTAAGGACGAGCCCTGGGAAAGCAGCACGTTCCACCCAGCGACTCCCCTCCTCCGCCGCCGCCCGCAGACAGCAGCCCCGGCCGGGCTCAGAGGAAAGCGGCGCCGCCCGGCCCCGCGGAGGGCCGAGGTGCCGGCGGGGACCGGGCCCCGGGCCTCCACTCGCGCCTCTAGCCCCGCGGGCCCTGCACCCTCTGCGACGGGAGCCGCGCCCGGCCCATCGCGGCTCCCAGCTCCCTCGCACACCGGCGGGCCGAGAGCGGGTCGGCGAGCTGCGGAACGGGAGCGAGCGGGCGCGGGTGGCAGGCTGCGGGAGAAGGGGAGACTCGTCCTGCAGCGCCGGAGAGCCCGACTCCTCTCACCACCACAGCAAGGAGGCGGCCATCTTCCCCCGGCCCATAATGCAGCGCGCTACGGAACGCCGCGTGGGACAAGCCGGGCCGCCGCGGCTCAGCCGCGGTTTCCATGGTTACGGCGCAGCCTGCCCCGGGCTTAGTGCCGGCCCGAGCGTTCCCGGAGCCCCGCTGGGAGCAGCAGGGCTCAAAACCGGCCGCGGTCCTCCGGGCATGCGGGGACCGCCCGGCTGAAGGTCCCCGGCGTGCCCGGCCCTTCCCCGCCGTGCGCGGCGCCAAGATGTCGGCGGTGCTCGGTGCCAGCCTGTCCCGGCGGGCTGGGGGCCGAGTCCTCACCACTGCACACAGGGGTCAAAGGGCAGGACCCGTCCATGCCGCCTGCTCCCCGTGTCAGCGGCCCCACCGAGCTGCGTGTCCCCACGGGAACCAGAGGCTGTGATGTGCTTGTTCCCTCCCTGCAACGCTGCAGGCACAAGTTCATTGTTTAACTGTGAGGTGCCAAGGACTAAATACACCACCAAGACCCACATGCCAGGTTCCCATCACTTCATAAGATGCCATGTCGGGACTTCCAATACCGCCTTGTCCAGCCTTTCTAGGGAAAGCATGACCTTGATGAGATGTCCCAGCATCCCATCCAGCGCTGGGGAATCCACCCCTTCCCTGTGGAGATTATTCCAGTGGATGCGTGTTCCAGTGTGAAAACCCTTGTGTCCAGCCACAGCCTCCTCAGGAGTAACCTGTGCCCATCACCCCTCCTCCTTTCCAGTGGTTCCCTCTAAAAAGGGAGTCTCCATCACCTTTAAACACCGAGCCCTCAAGCAGCGCATGGAGCCTCCCAGACACCCTGCCCTCAACCACGGGGCTGAGGAGCTTCCCCTTAGACAGACATAGAAATAAACCTGGGGCATCAGGGTCCCCGCTTGGAGAAGCACAAACACGGCTCTGGGGTGTCCTGGCTTCCCCGAACACACTGAGCATGGCACCGGCACCGGCACCGGCACCGGTCTCGGACATTGTCTTGGTTGCATCAGTCATTGGCACTGGGGCAGAAGAGGCCGGGAGTGGCGGCAGCGGGCGATGGATCCTGTCTGGGCTGTGCTCATCCGGGAGCAGGCGCAGATGCCGTATTTCAGGAACTGCTACCAAAGACACCGAAGGTTAATGAACATCAAACATCGCTCCTAATGAAGCTCCGCAGGGTGTTTGCTCTTAGCAGTAATCAGTTCCAACTGCATTTGTATTTGTAAGGCTTTAAACGTGTAAAAATGACTTCTAATTACAACTCAAAGAGCGCGTGTGGAATTTGGTTTGTAGAATCATACTGATTTCCAGGGGTATTTCCAGTGTGTTTACATTCATGCAATATTTAAATGCAAACACCTTGCTCTCCAATAGATTAGGAATTAATGTTTCTGGGAGGCTCTGGGGTGGCCAACATTTGCTTTTGCTGGCGCAGCTGGTTCATTGCTTTTCGGGTGCTTTGTGCTGGTAGCTGATCATAGCTTCATGATTGTTATAGGAATGAATTGCCCTGGCATAGAGAGCACTTAGGGTGGTGTTTCTGGGTGGTGTTTCTGCTCACCTTTGATGAACCCCTGGTACCAAGGGCACCTACCCAGGATGGGAGCAGCAATCCCCTCACACCACCTGGAATAGATGCAGGCACTGGAGCTGCAGGGCAGTTAATCCAGCACCACGGCAGCGCAGATGGACCCTTGTGCTGGTGCCGCTAATCCCAGCTCCCACCAGCTTTAGGGAGCATGTGCCAGAGCCTGCCCTGCCAGAACGTGCTGCTCTGCAGCCTCGGAGCCACCAAAGGACCTCTGAAGGACACAGCTGCCCATGGGCCCCACTGCCCATGCGTATGGGTGCCGACCAAGTGCTTTCACAGTCATGCAGGCTGAATGGGCTGTGCATTCCCCCATCCGCTGTGCACCCACATCCTGCCCCATTGTTTCATAGACTTCTCACGCACTGCCCTGCTCCCCTGAGGCTCTCAGTGCTCCCAGTGCTTGCACCCCATCCATGCCAGCATCCCTGCTCCATCCTGCCATATACAGGACAGGGAAGGTGGCAGGAGGAAGGCTTCACAGAGCAGAGCCGAAGTGACGACTTGGCTGTCGGGATGAGAACCAGACGGAAAGCAAGCTGTCAGCACACTTCCCACACAGCTCTGACTGCACCAGCTCCGAGCTGCAGCGCTCCCATTGTCACAGACATACTCCCCAAGAGGGCCTCAGTCTAGACCTGCAGCTCTCCACAGCACTGTTCCCATTACAGATCCACCATGGCTGTTCAATCACATCCTTTCTGGCCACTGCTGCCCAGGATTCCCCGTGCTGCCAGTTTCTCTGTACTGAAGGCAGCATGTGGTGATGCATGCTGCTGCCACAGAACCCCCCTGTTCCAAAATCCAATTCCTCAGACTCTGAGCAGAATAACACTAAACTGACACATTGCAGTTATTCTTGCCTTAGATGTATAGGCTGTTCAAAGGTCCCTGCACACAAGAGGTTCATTATACTTGCAGGATAAAACAGCACAGTGCTGGTTTAGCAGCTGTTTATGCTCAAACTGGGCTGGATCAAGATGTATATGACTTTTCACAGCAGAATAAAAGCAGATATGCTTATGGGGTTGCCTGTGGACAGGGATGCTCACAGGCACACACTACTGCAAGCTATGTGGCCTGTCCTCTGCAGCAGAAAGCCCAGGGCCAGTTCCCACACTGTAATGGGGCTGCACACACAGGCTCTGCTCACAGTTTTCACAACAAATATTCCTCCAGTCCCTGTGCAGTGATTGAGGACGGGGCCCTTGCTACCTCCAGGGATTTGGGTTATGTTTCAGGGCATTGCAGAAGCCTCTCTCAAACGAGAGGAACATCAGAAAGGTCGGCTGGCTGAAAAATAGGGGGACCTCACATGCTCCTTATGATGTTCCTAAGGCTGCTGTGCCATTTGTACAGATGATGGAACACCAAAGAGTCTGCAGGCAGGAAACGGTGCCAGCACAGGCAGCAGCTCAGCCAGGAGCAGGCTGGTGCAGGGCAGCATCAGCACATGCGCATGCAGAGCACCCCTAACCTCAGCAAAGGGGGGGCTGCTCTCACGACAGCTTCTGACACCTGCCTAGGATGAAGTCGGCTCCATGCTATGTAATACATGTTATTTTTTTTAAAGCATAATGAAAAGGGCATAACATTTAGTTTTAGCAAATCTGTGATTGGGAGTTTGCGAACTGTCCAGAGCCAGTAAATACCAAACGAAAGAAAAATTATCTGCACTTTATCAGATCTCTGAATAAGCCTCGCAGATATCCTTTCCTAAAGGCCACGTGCTGCCAGTCCGTGGGATCAGTCTCCATCTGAATCCCTAATTTTGCAGGTTTTGATGGGAATCAGAAGGAATTGATTTGCTCAAAAATAGCTCCGCCAAACACTTGGCCCTGATGGCGTCTGCTCTCTGATAACGCAAATCTTCAGGGTAGTGGTCATGGGGTCCCTGATCCTCTGCAGCTCTGTGCTTTAATCAAAGCAGCTCACACCTTTCTTCAGTGTCCATAGGGCAGGAACCAGAGAGAGGCATAAATAATCTTCCATTTGTATCACCATACAAATTAGCTGTTAAAAGTGATGCTGTTCCCAAGACTTCTTCCACTTCACTCCACAGCCCAGTGTCAGGTCCAGGGTTCCTTCACGCCACAGGAAACTCGGCGGCTTTCACTCAGGTGAGATGCTCCTCAACAGCAGCAGCTCACGGTCAGCCCCAGCCCACCAGGGTACAGAATCTGCACCAAGTGTGTGCTTCTCCTCTGGGCTGTGTGGTCTTTATTAGTGTTCTGATTTTTTCATTTACAATATTTAGTCCACATTCCTACAGCACCACAGGCTCTGAAGACCTCCAGTGATGGAGACTCTATAATTTCTTCAGGCTATGTGCCCTTGACAGCTGATTTCCATCATAAAACTAAAGCAGGCACTTCTTTCCTCCCCTCAGTGGGCAGAGAGAACAGCTTATTTCTCCATATGGAAATGAAACTAAACCTTTTTAGCTCTTCCCAGCTTGTCCAAACCTTTCCTAATTCCAACCCCATCTTGTGATGTGTTCTAGGGATACCCAGCTTCAGTCTGACAACCTCACAACTATGCTTCCTAATGCCACACTCAAGGCAGCAGCAGCAGTTAACCAATGCAGCTCCCAGCCCCAGATGATCTCTATAACTCCTGCTCCTTCCACATTGACAGTGGGTCCTTGATAACTCACATCAAGCATCCAAACTGCTGTGGTTTCATCTGGACTATACTTGCTAGGCCACTGCACTTGTGTGAATTTAGGCATTGGCTGGGTGGGTGTCTGTGCCTAAGCAAGGCTCCTGGGCTTCTCTTATTCCTGATAAAGATCTCGACTAGTCAGTCAATAGAGTTTAGCAGTGTAATTCATGTGAAAAAACACAGGGTGAAGTGGGCTGTGTCCTGAACCTGGTTGGGTATTGACTGGTGCTCTGCCTGCCTGATGAGGAAAACAGGACTCTATTCAAGCCTGGAAAGCCAGTAATGCTTTAGTGCTCTGAGAGTACAACAGGAGCCCCACAGTCAAATGCTTAATGCCTTCTCCCTCCCATTCCCACACCAAGGAAGCCCTTATTGCAAGTGCTGGGAGCTGCTCCCTTTAGAGGTGCTTTAGCTAGTTTGTGTTTATTGCATTCCCACATCTGCTTGCCCCCAGGCCAAAACTCCCCCTTGGAGTTCTTCATGGCACTTACTGCCTAGCTGGCTTTGCAGCCCATGCTTGTAGCAGAACTTCACCTCCTGTGCTTCATGTTGGGAGCTCACTGTTTCAGCTCGCCGTGTTCCAATCCTAGTTTTACCTTTGATAAACCTGAGCCCTGGTTTAGCACGTCTGTCCGTGATTAAAGTGGCATCGGAGAACCCTTGTTCCTATGGAATCTA